GCATATCACAATAAAAAAACACTCACAATAAGTTGATCTTGAAGAATTTACATTATCGGAATATTCATGAGTATCATTTCAGGAGTGAATTGAAAAAGCTGATTGGTTTGCTATCATGGTAGAGTAAACCCATTAAAACATGGTGGGGTTTACTTGGAAATGACTTGGAGGTGTTGTTTTATGAGGACTTTGGTGGAGTGGTTTGGTCTACACTATCCTAAACTAAACTGTACTGAAGGGAGGTTAAGCAGAGTCCCTTTAACCACAATAAACATGTGAGGAGAAACACAGCCTAAGAGCAGGATCTTACCTGAAATTCCTGTATAGTTTTCAGCTGGCAGGTAGACAGCCATATTGCCCACTGCAGACAGAGAAGGCGCAGTACACAGGGAGCCAAAGCGGTGTTTCCCACTGATTTAAGAACTGTTCTCCAAAACAAATGAGGGTCCGAGGCAGCAGGGTCATCTTCTGTAGAAGAACTGTGTATTTGTAGAACTGCGAAAAACAAGAGCAGGCTGTTAAAAGTCAGAGCTGAGCTATTTTTCAAAAACAATAATACAACTGAATGGCCCTTGTGTATGGCACGAGTTCCAGTTTCGTCTTCATGTCTCGTTTTGTCATTTAACAATTGAACCTACCTCTCTCTGTGGATTGTTTGAGGAGCAGCTCAGCTTCTGAGAACTGAGACTGAGCAGTGAAGCACACACAAGCATTGTACACCACTGTCAGCTCCAACTGTGTGTGATCTGCAAGAGGAGGGATACCTGCAGGAGGGGACACAGGGACAAAGAGTGAGACAGAGGAAGCTTAAAAGGTAACAGCTGAGCTCTCTGCATCAACAAATGAGACCCAGATGGGTTTCTGACCTAAGAGGTGGTGATTCCCACTACCCTACAATGGATTTTAGATACATTCAAACATGCATGTCACCATAATGAAGGACTTGGATCACCTTGGATTTTCCTTAAAAGTTTGTGAAACTCAGAGGAACAGCATCTCAGATGGGTCTGGCTCTGGCTCTGGTCTCGTCCGAGGGTATCTCCTCCTCCTACTTGCTGCTGAAATAATAAATTGAAAGAAAACGTTGTAACTTTACTATCATACTGAGGGTATTAAGATGTTATGCTACTGTAGATTGCTACTGTACTACACATTAATATGGGCATATTTAAGGGAATGTATCACATAACATATATTAGATCTTTTTAAATGATCGCTCCAAAAAGACTATATACAAAACACATTATCAGTTTATAATGATTACAAAACCCAACAGTATTTGCATCGGTCTTCAACTCATCCAGCTACAGCAATACAATTACCTTGTAAGATGTTAACATTATGTAATTATAATAATGTTATGTAAAGCATTAAAATAGCAATATAAAATTAACGAAGAGCCATTCTGGATAATGACTAATTTCCCTTTTGATATAAGAAGTATATTTTTCTGTCAATACTACAGACTTGCGGTGGTGGCGAAGTCCATAGGCCATAGGGACTTGGCTTGGCAACTGGAAGGTCACCAATTCAAGTCCCGGAAAGACCAAGTGCTACCGAGGTGTCCCTGAGCAAGGCACCGTTCCCTACACTGCTCCCCGGGCGCCGTACATAATGGCAGCCCACTGCTCCTAACACAAGGATGGGTCAAATGCAGAGACCGTCCGGCAGTGGCTCAGTCAGTAGGGGGCTTGGACTGTGAGCCGTAGGGTCGCCGGTTCAAGTCCCCGAACAGACCTAAATATGGAGTGTGGACTGCTACTTGGAGAGGTCCCAGTTCACCTCCTGGGCCCTGCCGTGGTGCCCTTGAGCAAGGCACCGGACAACCCCCTTCCCCCCCCCCCCCCACTCCCACTGCTCCTAGTACTAGACTCCTGGTACTAGGATGGGTTAAATGCAGAGGCCACATTTCACTGTGTGCTCTGCATGTGTGACCATTACAGAGGGTTTCATCCCTCCGATTCTATTCTATTCTGCTTTAAGTTTAATTTTAAATGCAGGACATTATTATTGTACTGCCATACATTGCTACATAAATCGACTCAAATCCTTGTTGTGCCTTTGGTTTTGATCATCAATACATAAAACATGCAATGAAACCTTCATATTTCAACTATCATATCATATCTTTCAGAAATATATGATATGATATGATTGTACTAGGCAGTTTGTTATTATATACCGACGTTTACGTTTAATGTAAGTAAAACTAAAATACTGTTTTAATGCTCTTTATTCTATTCTCAAGCATAGAGTATAATATAACGCTAAATTAAGGTTACAGTATTTAACAGAGTTGTTGATGCTAGTGTTAAGAGACGAGACACTTAAACTTCCTACCTTCCATTTGTTTACTAACTCGTTGTTTTCCTGGACCCATCTCTCTAACAAAGGAAGAGGTTGAAACGGTTTAATAGACATTACATCGCTGTTTTGTGTAAAAGTTAGACGTGTTTTGTTTAAACTTTCCCTCGTTTGTGGAAAGGGAGCTGAAACAGGAAGTAAACATTAGTGAGGTTGTTTTTAACATTGGGGCTGTGCTGCCCCCTGTGGACAAAGCAGGAAACTACACATGCAGTCTGCTAACTGTCCAGCAGGTGGTGCTGCTGCAGCGCCAACAACACTTGTGTTCTAGAAACTTCAATTTTAGGATTTGTTTTTTTACAGCCATCAACCTGAAGTGAAGTGTTTCTGCTGTTTATGTGTGTTTATTAGCTCTATAATCAACAAAATAAGCAAACAGATATAGACATGATTGCACATCTTTTATATATTCAGGAGAGTATTCACACAACAGGTTTAAAGCAAGTGAACAGTAGCCAAGGCCGTAATTGTATTGGTGCTGAGTCATCCTTGAGCCTGCCAGGATGGCCATTTCTCTAGTTGTCCTTACCAAGGTGACTCCCTCTTTTCTCACCCATCTCCACTCCTCTCACCCATCTATCATCCCTCCATCAGTGCATCGTCTTGTTCCCTGTTGTCTGCAACCTCCATGTCTTAGCTTCATTACAATCTTCCAGCTATTCCCTTCTTTCATTGTCTCAAATCACAGAAAACTCTAAATATATCATCATGGAAAAACATCCACTGCTTCACACTCAAAGACTTGCAGATGCACAGGCACGCACACACAAACACAAAAGATGACTTTATGTCTGATTCGACACATTTGTCCTCCTAGGGTTTCACTTCTCTCGTGGCGTTTTTCCATTTCTTTCCATCCATTAAAGTGCAAGGTCATCAAATGACTGAAGTCTCCCATCTCATTTGATGCTGTCCCTCTGACAATGTCATTCACATGGCAGGAATTCAAACTTTCACAAGAAAGGTTTGAAAAATAATGTAACTGCGACAAATCCACCCCTGGCAGCAGTGAAGTGCAGATTGTGTTTCATTTGAGAGGAAGCCTAAATCTGCCTGTTCTGCTGGATTTAACAGCACCCAAACACCTTGGTCATTATAATGAGTTATACCACTGACCATCACTGGTACTAAAACATCAAATTAAAGCCGATATGTTCTAACACAGAATGATTACAACAAATGTAGAATTGAGCTGCTAACAGTTAGTTTAAATAATAATGAATAAAGGGCAACATGAGCCATCGTGGAGAAGAGATCCTTATAACACAACTGAATTCTGCCTACTCTGCTCCATTATCCTCATCTTTAAAACATGAAGCTAGGGAGGGGCTGCATGTTATTTCTGTCCTGCATGACCCTCAGCCACTGTAAACATGTGACATGTTATGCAAAACACTCTGACTGTGTTTCACAAATAAGAAAACCAACACGTTTTATATAACGCATTTGAATACGTTTAAGAAAAAGGGTGATCAACTGGTGTTCAACTTTGATAATAAGATTAAACAGACAAGGTTGCTGGAGGACAAGCCTTTTGTGTCACACAGTCCCCTGGGTGTCATTGGGCTGACAAACACACATGTTCCGGGACGAAGAAAATGCTGATACAGATAAATTAGTGTGTGCTGAACCGTCTATTAATAAACAGGGAAAGGCTCACAGTTATCCCTGCTTCTTAAATGCATGCAGTCTAAACTCACTCACCCTCAGTTTGAGTAATCAATAAGTTCTATACGTGCTCCTCAGAACTGGTCCTTTTCTGAGAGCAGACATCCCCTCAGCAAAGTGTGTGTGTGTGTGTGTTAGTGCTGTATCACTGTAGCTCAGTGTGTGGTGTGCATGAACTACAATACTTGGATTCTTATACAAGGCTGCCATGTTTGGTCTGCAAACACATCTGCACAACTGGAGATGATTTAATTTTTAGAAACAGAAAGAAGCAGCAACAAAAGTAATATTTAAACTAAAGGGGGGAATAAACCTTTGTGTGTGTGTGTGTGTGTGTGTGTGTGTGTGTGTGTGTGTGTGTGTGTGTGTGTGTGTGTGAGTTAATAGGGGAAAAGAAAAAAGAGATTCTGTCAATGGCCCAGCAGTCCCAGGGGGGTGGCGTGGATCTGCAAACTCACACTGCAGCACTACAGCTGGAGCATCAGCAGAACACACTGCACACTCACACTATCAGTTCACACATACTTCAGCCCAGGATTATAAATGTATTAAAATGCATAATAAGCTTGCAAAAGCAGACTTGTTTATAGATATAAAAATCACCCAAATCCAAATATGTTAGTTAATATTTACCACAAATGCTTCATTTTTTCCCCATGTATTTTTACGCACTCAAGCTTTAGGGTGTACAATGATGAGAGAAGCTTGAAAACATTTTACATCCCTTTAAATCAGTATTTAGATGTGTTGCTTTGATCAATTACACCTCGTTAACACCTTAAATAATAAAACTCAACAACAAGGTGCTACACTGATGCGGGTGAATATTTTCCTGCGCAGCCAGTACTTTTCTGGGGAACAGATATCTCTTTAAACAGAGTGTGTGTCCTGGTGCTGACTTGAGAGTTTTCCCTCCCTCCTATAAAAGCTCAGCGCTCTCGCTCCTCTGCAGTCACATCTCATCCAGCCAAGATGAGTTTCACAGCAGAGCACCACCTCTACGGCCCGTCCTCGTACCGCAAGGCTCGGCCCTCCTCCGGGTCCTCCAGCGGCTTCCACTCCCAGCGCCGCCGCCTCACCTACAGCCAGCCGCCCTCCGCAGACAGCCAGGACAACTTCGGCGGAGACATGACTCGCAGGAACGAGAAGGAGATCCTGCAGACTCTCAATGACAGGTTCGCCGGCTACATCGACAAGGTGCGCAACCTGGAAATGCACAACCGCAACTTGGAGGCAGAAGCCGAAGCTCTGCGGCAGAACCAGGCCGGGCGCAGCTCGGTTGGAGAGCACTACGAGCGAGAGCTGGGCGACCTTAGGGGTCTCCTGCAGCAGCTGACCGGGGAGAAAGCCCGCGCTGCCCTGGAGCACGACCACCTGGATGAAGACATCCAGCACCTGCAGGCCCGGCTCGAGGAAGAGGCGCGAAACCGGGAGGAGATGGATGCTGCCGCGCGCACCATGAAAAAGTATGTGGAAGAGTGCCGCTTGACGCGTACGGAGCTGGACAAGAAGCTTCGCGCCCTGGAGGAGGAGGGCGTTTTCCTGAAGAAGAACCACGAGGAAGAAGTGGCGGAGCTTCTCGAGCAGATTCACGGTGCGCAGGTGAGCTTTGACATGCGGGACACGATGAAGAGTGACGTGACCGGCGCACTGCGAGAGATCCGCGCGCAGCTGGACGTCCATGCATCCAAGAGCTCAACACAAGCCGAAGAATGGTTTAAAGGTGAGTAGAGTGAAAAGGGAGAGTCAAAAAAAGTTTTAGTTTTTAGTTGAGTTTTTTAACTAAAGAAGAGAAAACTATTACGTGAGCTTTAAATGCGAATCATAGTGTTTTGTATCTGCCCATGGTGCTGAAGACTCAGTTACTTTAGCGTTTGATTATAGTTAGAAGCGTCATTGTAGCCCTATGCGTAAGGTCATTTAAGGTGATGCGCAGGAGCTTGCAGTATAGTGCAGACATCGGGTTTGCAAGGATTACTATTTTTTTTAAATATTAACATATCAACAATAAAACTATGAGGGAAACGGGTCCTGCCTTGATAACCGTTAGACCAAACCAAATTCCCAGATTACAAACTTTCCACTAAATGGAGAGGTTTAATAAGAGAATCAAGTCAGATATCAATAATATAAAATGCAGAAATATAACCCTGGTAATATGACTTGCAGTTTGAATGGTTATCCTCTATGGGTGCATCGCTGCCGCAGAGTGATACTTTTTACTTAAGGCAGGCACTGCAGGAGAGAGATGGCACAAAGAGAGGAGACGATGATTCATTTGCACTCACTGTGGGTAACAGTGGGTGTGCTGTTGCTTCCCCCAATCTGCACTGTGTGTTTCTCTCACCCTGAACCTCTACAAATAGAATAGCCACTTCAAGGTCACGGTTTGTGGTAGGAGAACACGAATAATACTGCTCCATCACTCTAGTCATCCATAATGATGTCGTGACTGGAGCTCTCCAAAGACATGGAAGTAAGCTAGTATTTAGATATAATGGCGAGATGATAGATGAAGACACATTTATACTGCAAGGAAATGCAGCATCAGGTCCACACAGCACTTCTGACCTTTTGTGGTATACTGTACAAATAGACAGTCGACAGCTTTACAGGCCAGGAAGGTTTTCTCTTAACTGCATGTCACAGAATGATTTATAGATCCACCCTTGCTGCACATCTACATGCTGACGTGATAGAACAAGTGAAAGGTGTAAACAGAATGACCTTCCCTGTGAGGTCCGGCTGACTGCAGCACTGTGGCTTTTTCATGCTTGGAGGAGGGAGGGAGCTGAGTCAGACTACTGACTGATAGATGCAAACTGCCAAGGTTACTCAGTAGAAACTCCCTGAGGACAGGTCAAATGTCTCAGGACCAATTAACAAAAAAAGACAAAACTATAAATAATTCAGAATTTCTCTATACTCCAGCAGATCACTTGATACTGTTTTTGCACAAATCGAATGACACAGCAAATGTGATTGATGAATTGTGTTCAATCTCTGCAGTGCGCATGGACCGTCTGTCTGACGCTGCTCGCACCAACCATGATGCAATTCGTGGAAGCCAGGAAGAGATTGGAGAGTACCGCCGTCAGCTCCAGAGCCGCACCATCGAGCTGGAGACTCTTCGGGGAACCAAGGACTCCCTGGAGAGGCAGCGTATGGAGTGTGAAGACAGACACCACGATGACCTCAACTCCCTACAGGCATGACATCCACACACACATCTAATTTATCCCAAAAAAGGGAAACACACATGCATTGCACATTTCCTTTTATAACATCTGCATCATATTTGATTTGTTTTCTTTTTGCAGGAGACCATTAATCACCTGGACAACGAGCTGAAAACCACTAAATGGGAGATGGCCAGCCAGCTGAAGGACTACCAGGAGCTGCTGAATGTGAAGATGGCTCTAGATATTGAGATTGCTGCTTATAGGTTGGTCACGATTTCAAACCACACATAATTAAATTGATTCTTTCATTATTTACCTTTTCCCTAACTACGTGTTTTGGTCTTTTAAACAGGAAGTTACTGGAGGGAGAGGAAAATCGCCTTGTTTCAGGAGCAGGTCCCTACTCTTACCTCGAGAGCAGAATCTCTTCCCACTTGAAGATGAAAGCAGAGGAAATCTCCGATACTGTCATCGTGGAGGAGCAGACCGATGAGACCCAGGTGACAGAGGTCACAGAGGAGGCAGATGAGGATGAAGAGGAGGGAGAGAAAGAGGAAGGAGAGGGAGACGAGGAAGAAAAAGATGAGGAAACCAAAGAAGATGAGGAAGAAGGAGAGGGAGAAGAAGACAAGGAGGAAGATAAGGAAGGGAAGGGAGAGGAAGATGAGGCAGATGAGGAAGAAGATAAGTCAACATCTCCAGAAAAGAAGGGATCTCCTCAGCCTAAATCTCCTGTTGTCAAATCACCAGTATCCAAATCACCAGCACCCAAATCCCCCATGCCCAAATCTCCGGCTAAGTCCCCTGCAGTCAAATCCCCCGCAGGAGCAGAGTCCAAATCCCCTGAGTCCAAATCCCCTGAGTCCAAATCTCCTCGTCCCTCTACCCCTGAACTGAAGTCCCCAGAAAAAGAGAAGGCCGAGCCCGCCGCCACTAAAGAAACCCCAAAAGAGGAGAAGAAAGAGGAGAAGCCTCAGCCTGTCAAGGAGGAAAAGAAGGAGAAAGAACAGCCCGTAAAGGAAGAGAAGAAGCCCGAGCCCAAGGAGAAAGAGCCCGAGGAGAAAGAGCCCAAGGAGAAAGAGCCCGAGAAGGCCGATAAACCTGATGCTAAGAAAGAGAGCAAGGCAGAGGACGCTTCAAAACCTGCAGCTGCCAGCAAGCCCTCAGAGGACAAGCCCAAGTCTGAGCCTAAAGAGAGCGCTGCCCCCACCAAGGAGGAGAAGCCCGCTGCTCCTAAATCTGAGAAGACCGAGCCCGAGACAAAGCCTGCATCTAAAGCAGAGCCGGAGAAAACCGATAGCAAGAAGGACGAGAAGAAGTCAGAAGAGAAGGCCGCACCTAAAGCCGAACCCGAGAAAACCGACAGCAAGAAAGACGAGAAGAAGCCCGAGGCTAAAAAGGAGGCTAGTAAAGATGAGAGCAAGGAAGTGAAGGATGAAGGGAAGCAGGAGAAATCCTCTGGCACCGAGGCAAAGGATAAGGAGGAGAAAGTGAAGAAGTCAAACTGATAAGCTGTGATTGAAGGCACACAGGGAGGAGGAAGTGGAGATGCCAAAGAACTATGAGAAGTGAAGGAAGCCAGGGTAAATAGCAGGAGTAAGAAGCGTGATGCTCCCAGCTGTTCAGATGGACGCCTTAATGTCCAAAGTAAAGCAGGTTATGGTATAAGCAATAGTGATTTCTGTAGCAAATAACCCCCAGCACCCTGAGTATGGCCATTACCCCCCCCCCCCCCCCCTTGAGCTTCTGATGTATGACTGTGAATGCTCTAAACTCTTTATCTGAATGTGACAACTAAATAACAAGTGCATTTAAAATGAAACCCGCTGAGGGGAACCGCAGGGGCCTGCTGAGATGTCAAAAAAATGTCAAGTGAGAGATTGTGACAGATATTATATATATATATATATAAACAAGTATATTTAAAGATACAAATGTCTATATTATATTTACAGATACATCAGTAAGAAAGACTTGAATTTATGCTTTTTGTGCACCTTGCTGCTGCTTCTCCTGACAGGTGAACTGCAGCGTCTCACTTCTCTGGTCTGCAATGCTAGGACAATGATGACTATGTGTTATGTATTAACTGCTGAGAATATGCAATATGAAACAGATAAATAAAGAATGATATCAAACACAGAAGGCGTTTGGGAGATTGTCTTTACATTGCATGCCAAACAGAGTCAATTGCACGCTGACCCTCAAGTGAGGATTCGTGAAGGAGAAGTGTCAAGAGTAATCATATACAAGGTGTGAGGCTTTAAAAGGTAAATGCACTGCACTGCGGACAATGAGAGGGGGAGCTGTACCCCACCAAAGCAGACACCGCACCCTTCCTCACATCCCATAGACCACGCTCATGTATAAATCAGGAGCGGTGATGCTTGCTTGCACGAAACACATTCAATTTCGCCTCTTACTTCCACTCCTGCCTCACTGCAAAGAGGAAAGTCCACACACTGAAGCTGTGGTTCAAAATGACCATAAACACAAGTCATGTTAATATCTTAAATATCACGAGTACGGTTAAGATGAATAAGGATCAGGCCTTTTTTAATTTGAAGATAATACAACATTATCCGGTTATGCATTAAAGTAGTATTTGAGCTATAGATTTTAAACGTTGATATTGTCTATAGCTGCCTATCATGCCTATCAATGCCTATGCCTATAGGATGAGTAGAGCAGCAGGTTCAAAAACCCACCCATCTTTTTTTATAGATACATTTATTGACATTGGACACACTTTGGCTAACTCAGGAAGATTTGTTCAACCTGGCAGGGCTTTAGTGTTTTCTTCACATCCAATGTTTGCATCACGTAATAAAACACTAATCCTTTTGAGTATATCCAAATATAAGAGTTATTTTACCCTTAAATATTGAAATGGAAATGTTCCCATGCAACAATGTGTCCCTTAATAGAAGTACATGAGAGCCAGCAACTTTCTTTTTTCCTTGGTTCACATATATGGAGGAGTACCAGATTGCACCACCTTCTACACCATTGAAGATGCTCATGAATGAAAACATGCGGCTTAGTCTTCTTCTACATACACCCATATATCTGAGGGATTACTGTCTGGATTTGGATTAATCCCAATGGAATTGGATGGATATTTTAGCATCTCTAGACAGCTGCTAGCTAATCATAACATGTGAGTAATCCTCGATTGAAATGGCTCCAGTATCCAGAATAACCTGTTTTTTCTCAGTTAAATAATGCAGGATTATAAATGAAAGGTCCAAAGTTTCATTTATACTTTGCTGACTGCAAAATATACCAAATATCATATTCCTTGGACTTAAATCTCTGGGGAAATGACGCAGCTCGCTGTGGCAAGGAACCACAACGGCATAATAATCAGAGAGTGCAGACGTCGCCTATAAATAGAGCCGCACGGAGAGGTGAGTAGGAGAGGAAGGAAGAGGGATGGAAAAGAGAATTTAGATTACACAGCAAAGCACTGCTTTAAATAGACCAGATACACACTCATTCAAGAAAATAACGCAGCTTTTATTTCCACACATGTAAAAGGACTTTAAAAAATTGATACTTTCTGGATCTAAGAGCCACAAAAAGGTAAGCATACAGGAGTTACAGTTGTAAAGTACAGCACTGAGAATCATATGGACAAATCTAGCGGTGACTGAAGAAGCCCTGAGGGTGGTTGTACTTGAATGGCTTCAGACGATTTGGACCCCTGAGGAAGAGAGTGACATGTCAGCGATACAGTTTATTCACACACAGATACATTGTGTGAGCTGATGGCTTCTTGTGACGGTGTACCTGACGGTGCGCAGGCACATCTTTTCTCTGGGAAACTCTAGTGGTCCCTCCACACTGTCATCTTGACCTTCAGTCTCCAAATAAACATCCAGGCAGACACAGAGGCGTGAAATCTGATTGGTCAGGAGCTGGTGTCCCGGGCGGGGCCCCTGTAGTTCATTTTTGAACACATTGATCTCGCTCTCCATGGCCTAAAAAAAAGCAAAGATGAGACTGAAATATCTGGACGTAAAGTGAGATGGCGCAACAACAACCTAATTGATCAATATTGACAAATGCTCATACTCGAAGGTTGTCATCTGTGCGTCCGGTGCGCTCTCCCTTCCAGCTGAGGGAGAGGGAGAACAGGGGGGAGATTTCTGGGTAACGGGGACTCAGCACCAAGGCGGCCTGGAGACGAGCTGAGAGGAAAAGGAAAAAGATAAAGGCAGGATTGTTATAAGAAACAAATACAAAATCTAGCTATTGAAATGGCCAATTCTAGCATTAGTGTTAATATGTTACCTGTGCCTCTCTCCACCACAGACATAAAGTACAGATCTGACTCCTTTGCCAGCCCAGCATCAGACACATGACGAGTATATGGCAGCTCCTACCGAACAAGAGAAATATCACAGTAAGACAAGGTGACCGGTCATTTAAAATATCAATGCATATGTGGTGATGTGTGTATACCATGTACTCCTGCTGAGTGATGGTGGTCCAGCGGGATAAACGGGAGATGATCTTGGCAGGAAAGAGGTGCTGACACTCACTGGAGACCGGGATGATGCTGTGCTCTGAGGGCAGGAGCACAAATAAACTCAGTCAAAATGTCATATCTCCTCTTCAGCACTATTTGTTCTTTGATGGTTAACATGAAGTGTACCTAAAGAGGCAAACTGTTTGTGCAAAGCCAAGCGAGCCTGCAGCCGTCCCCTCAGCAGCTTCATGGTGTTCTCCATGTGGCTGGCACTCAGAGAACTGCCCACACTCACACCCTGGAGAGACATGAGCATAGAGGAACATGACGAGGCTGTAACACACAGAAACTGCTGCACAACGGGGATCATTTCAACACACACCTCTGAGGAGTCTTTAGGGAAATGTAGTCCTCCCAGACTCTGAACCCACATGTAGGGATGGCCCAGCTCCTCCACATAATCAGCAAAGGTAACAATCCTGAAAGGAAATGTTGAGTTATTTTCTTAAATTCAAAAAGGGAAGGATTCTCCATACATCTTCTAATTTCCTTTAATAACTTCACATCCTCACCCGACTTTATCAAACTGGTAGCGATTAGCTGGATTGGGCGTTTCTTTGCCCTGGTCGCTGCTGTAGAGACAGCTGAGTAGAGTGTCTGATTTCAGCAGGTCCCTGTAGAGGAAGACATCATTAGACATTCAGTGACACAGATAGGTAGGCAGGGTGCTTTAAAGGTGGGGTATGTCATTTTGGAGAAACCAGCTCGAGATCGCTAGAATTTGAAAATACACAACCGGAAAAAATCTGCCACTTCCTTACAGAGCCCCTCCTCCAACACACACATGACCAATGAGGGCACGAGATAAGTGTGTGCACGAGATGGAAGGCTGACAGGCAGGTAGGCCATCCAGTTATTTTAGCCGGGCCGGCTCAGATGATTGGTCGTGCTTTTTACAGCGCCACGGCTTCCACAGATGAAATGTTTTTTATGTATTTATTGTCAAAGCATTTCATATATTCATTGCTATCGGGATGTTGGGAGCATTCCATGGAATATAACAAAAAGTGTTTCTGAAATAAATTACCTTTCAGCTGTATTTCAGGTGTTTCAAAGTGGGGTTTTATTACAAGTATAGTCAGTGTATAACCTACAGAAGATGTTGGTAGGCACGCCCCCAGTATGGAGAAACAGGCAGGAGTTACGGCGTGGGACGTGTTTTTTACCAATCAAGACAGCAGTAGACCATAAACCTTTGTGCGGCTAGCTACATTTCCTGTTTTGGTTAATGGAGTCTGGTGGCTTTTATAAGAGAGCATAGATAACGGCTTAAGGCTTCTAAGGTCTTTGACGTCAAGGTAAAGCGTTGAAAATATTCCAAAAATATCAAGCCGCTGAGGTTTATCGATGTACATTTTGCTGCTGCATCATCCACGTCAGTGCATTGCTTTACTCCTGTGCCAGAACTCCATTATGTTTCTCCAAACTGGGGCTGTGCTGATCACCATCTACTGGAGGTAATAGACTATGGCCAAGTACCTCATATAACCTCACTTTAAACGATCTGACACTATCTCTTTAAGGCCACACACACACACACACACACACACACACACAACACAGACACACAACACAGACACACAACACAGACACACACCCTGCGCTGATGGCCGAGCTGAGGTCTGTTGAGGTGGAGACCTTGGCCTTGACAGTCGTAATGTTCAGATTCATCAGGTAGTAGAAGTGGAGATGGAGGATGCTGCCATCTGTGGAGACATAATAGATAACACATGGTGAGGAACTAATCCATTACTAGCTCATTGCTGCCCCCCCCCCCTCCTCTTTTCATTACTCCTCCCAGTGAACGTCCCCCAGGGTTTACTTCACACTGCAGCGCATCGGAACAATAACAGGGTGTGGTCACGACGGCAGCTAGCAGCACTCAGGGGATACATATACAATGCTGATGGTCAACCTTCACACTCCCCTCCCTGCAGTCACTGTGAACTCTGTGGCACTCTGTCATTCACTGAAACCTGCGCTGCTCTCTTTTCGCCTTTACTGCAGCAAATTGACTGCTGCAGCTGGCACCAGTGAAGAAAAAGGGGCAGGGGGAAGAGACTAGAAACACAAGCAGAGGTTAGAGAACAACCGGTGATGAGAAAATATGCTTACAGCCTGTTGTAGGTGCTGCAGACCCAAAATGCTGCAAGCATCTCTCGCCCCTCTCTCTCTCCTTTAGGTAGAGTTACGCCTGCAATGCAGATCTCCCTGTAATCTGTCACTATTCCTCTTATTGCCAGCAGAGGGAACACAAGGGTCAAGTGGTGTCCTGACATCATAACAGACCAGGTCAGCTTACTTTCTTTCACTTACTATTCGTTAGGTTTAGAGTTCCATCTGGCTTGAATGCACAGACCTAGTTGGTGCAGACTTTAATAATTGAAGTCAACATGAATGTAGAATGAGTTACCTTTACACTTGAGGTCTAAGCAGAGCGACAGAGGGTGCCTTTTCAGCATCTCCTTTCTTTTGTCATCCAGCTGGCCCCCTGTAGTTGGCCTTCTTCTCTTCTGTCGATAAGAAACAAAGGAAACAAGAGATGAAGCGAAACAAATAAAGAAAACAGTGCATGTTCGTCAAGTAAAGGTTGAAAAAGAAGCAGGAGTTGCAGACGTGTCGTTGTACTTATCTCCGACAGACATCTAAATAGGTCTTTAAGAAAATATGTATTTACTTTACTAGAGAAACATTCCATCAGACCAACTGACAACAAACTGAGCAGAATTTAAGCGAATGTGCTTGTGCAGGGTGGGCTCAGGTTACAGTCATCTCGCCATTCTTGGTCAATATTTCCCAGAACCCCCTAGCTGGCACTTGTAGGGATGCAGGAGGCAATCGATAGCTGCCGCTACCCGACCCCCCTGAACACATCGTGTCGCAGCTTAGGCTTCAGGGACAGTTTGTGTCTGTGGCAAAGACGAGTGCATTAACACATAGTTTAATCCTCGGACCTGAGGGTCCCAGTGTGTGTGTTTTGGGAGTAAAGCAGAGGGTAACACTTACCGTCTTTTCTTGCTCCTCCTCTGCATCGGAGTCACTCTCGTCATCTGTATGAAACCAGAACACATAATTAAATGGGGTTTTGTTTTTGTTGGAGATGCCACAATGATTTGTTTGATATGTGCGGTATGTCTAATTTTGGTAAAGCCATGTTTGTACCCTGGGAATCTTCTGGAGGTTTGGACAGGGCCTTGGCCTCATCCACATCACCACTGATGGAGACACTGAGGTTCTTGTCTGTCATGGAAACAAAATACATCAGTGAAAATTAGGCCTTCATTTATATAGAACATTTTACATTACATTCTTAAACATTTTCTACGGACTACTTACCACAGGCTTGGCCATAGGCGTTGGCCTGAACAAACAGCACATAGAGGGCTGGAGGCAGGTGGCGGGCGACCTCTGTCTGTATCTGAGCCTGTTCAAACGGCATGGCAAGGTACTCCTGCACGGGGAGAGAGGCCTGGGCAAGGAGGGAGAACATACATTGTGTTATCATTCAGAGGATCAGTTCATGGTACAGCAGATAGGATTGTCACCTCAACAAAGAGGTCAGTCAATATCATAATTATATGAACAACACAAAATAATGCTCCAATCCATTCTTACTGAAACAAAACCAGTTACTTCCAGACTGCAAGGAAAAGTGAAATCAGATCTGTTTTTTGTTTACAAATCAATGGTAACAGTACAAATGCAATCTGATCTTTTCAGATCTTCTTTGGCTATCATACTATGTGGTCAGACAAAGCTCTAATTGTTTACAATGCAACCAAAGAATAAGCAATACATGGGTATTCATGTGGCTTTTATTTAACTCAAAGATTGGCATTTTTCACAATTCTGCGTATGCTGCAGTTACTCTGTGATTAATAAAAAACTTGACACCCTAACATTTTTGAAATAATTCTGTATCAGAGAGGCCACTTAAGTCGTAATGTAAACACTTTTCTTTCTTTTTCCTCATCCTCGTTATCATCTGCTCATGGATTTGCTGGCTTTGACTGCAAATCGACTTAGAAATGAAACCGTAAAAGCTGACCACGCTGGCATCTATTTTTACAACATTGTACAGCATGACTTCTTTGGTTTTTGTACATGTGGGTCAAATCAGCTACCTGACTCGTTCAAACTGAAAACTGATATTGGCTACATTTCAAAGTAATGTGACCAATCAAAAAAAGGGCAGATTTGAGCAATAAGGCTTGCAGTCTGAACGTAGCAGTAGTGTGGTGAAACCTTTATATTATAGCAACTAAACAGATGTAATACCTGCATGATGGCATTGAGTCCAGGCTGCAGGCTCGTCAGATGTTCCTTCTTCACCTCGATGCTCTTCTGGATCTTCTCCTTCGTGGACTGGCACTCCTTGTATTTTTCTGCCAACCTGTATAAAAGCACAATCCTTCACTAGCTGCTCTGTGCCTCCCTGCATCAGGTTTTATTTTCACCACAGCATGCGGCACATGGACAGGTTTGCATACCTCTTCCTCTGTTCAAGCTCCCAGTCCAGTCGGGCCAGTGTGAGTTGGTGGGGATCGTTTTTTGTGAGGTGAGGCCTGGAAATCTCATCTGGCGCTTCCTGGTAAAACTCTGACTCAGACACCAAGTCGATCTCTTCATGCTTAGACCTGGATCACAGAAAGGGATGTTAGGGAAAGGTACGTCACAATATAAAAAAAGTGTATCATTATTACCAATGTAGAAGTCTCTGTGACTTTTTTAAAATATCAGCATCAACTGTATAAAGTAGAATTCACAAGTTATATTTTACTCCACAGGTGAGTAATTCATTTGACTTACATTCTGACTGATCATAAACATTTGACAGAAAGGAGGTGACTTTATTTGTATGGGTTGATGTGTATTTTATTAGAGGACATTTTGTTATAATCTTGATTCAAAGTGCTGAATAAGGCGGCTTTCTTTGTTACTTCTTTTATATAATGATTGAGAGCAGATTTTCATTGTGCTTGGTTTCTGACATGTTCAGTATGAAAGCTGTTCTTATTGAATTATTTATTTTGAACTTACTTGAACTCCAGACACTTGCTGATCTCCTTCTGAAGATGCATGACTTCATAGAGCAGGTTCTGTAACTGAAGGTGCAGCACATCCACTTTCTGCTTTGCCTGAGGGAAAAAGAGATGGTTACGGTTTGGTTTGTAAACACTATTCAAGTGCCAGGTCAAACAATATGCCAAGAAGATTTAATAAAAACAATCATCAATATGCAGGATCTGAACTGGATCAAAATATTCTAAACAAAAACAAAAACAGGTGATGAAGCGTTTTCAGCTCACAGTGGCAGACACTGCGGTTTGGTATTTAAAGTAGAAAAAGTACTTGGTGTTCAACTTCCTGATCAGCACAAAAAGGAGTTGAGGCAGCACTTTTTTCAGCAAATAAATGGAATCCAGTAAACTTAACCTAAGCTGTAATATATTTGAATATCTCATTGTTGGAAAGGATTTGAGGGCTGTGTATTTACATCATGTGTTTGGTCTCTGCCTCTCTTTAGTCGCATATGAGCCAGACGGTTGAGTTTTTTCAGATTCATGAAGTGGATGCATCCCTGCATACGTCTCTGCTCGACCTCAGCACTCTGAGGACAGACACAATCAGTTAGACTTCCTTATTAAAGAGGTGAACAAATAAAATCAACATTGGCTTGGATCATATATACAATGCTATGAGAATAATCATGATATTCATGTTCTTTAACTTCCCCTAACTCTTGGCCAATATCCCATAACATATAAAAAGATCTTCGCTTAGGAATAACAGTCCCATTATTTTTAAAACATATTTATCACTGTCAGTATTTATATTAAATGTTACAAAAAACACCAGTGCCGTAATTAATACGACCAAGGATTCTTTTACAATTGTTTTGTTTATTATTACTATTATTATAACCATGAACCTGTTTTAAAAATGATTACCTCATTCTGTCAAGTAAACAACTATCCAAATTAAATTGTAAATTCTAGATTAGGTGTTTCTCACCTCTCCTGCATAATCTATTTGGTTATTGTTATGTCTTTGCTTTAATCCCCTTATTTTGGCTAAGCTAAACCTAAGAGGTGATGTATTCGGTTCACCAATTCTACAAACTGTATGTATAACGTTTCTGCTGTAGAGGACTGATATCACCTTGAAGAGTTTAACTATTGTGTAATCTGACATCTCTACAATATTACTGAAAAATACAGAGTAATGACAGAGGCGATTAAATGTGTGAATCTTAAAATTGTGATTCTTACCCCTTCCTTTGCTCCATTAGCCTTGAGCTCCTGGATCTCACTCATGATTGTGGCCAAACCCTCACATGACTCTTTGTACTGCAGGAAGTCCTGCTCAGGGTCCCTGCTGTCTAGCTCCACCTCCTCATTGTACACACGCACATCCTGGGAAAAAAACAAACGTACATCAATATATACAGTTACCACTATCAGTAACGCTTCAACCTGAGCCCACCTTTGTTTTGGTGCTGTAAGAAGTCAGAGTACTGGGTCCATTTACAACAGATGGGATTCTTAGGTCGCTGAACTTGACTCAAATATTGATAACTTAAAAGGTCACTCTCCTAAATGAATCACCTGGTTTTCTGGTTGGTTACAACATAATGACGAAAATGGATGTACACCCAATCTAATATTTGCTCCCATATTTCATGGGATAAAAAGTTCCTTTGTATTAATCATAAAAGCAGATCATATCACGTCCAGGCATTTCTAAAATACAGCCATATTTCTGTTAATGGTTGTGAAAACAGTTGAATGTTGTCCATGTTGAATTTCAAACCAAACTAATGCTCGACTGTTTTGAATGTGATATCTTGGCTACATTTCTAAATGATACCTTATAAATAGATACTACTATATCTTACTTATCATACTTTATAGTTCCCACATTGGGAAATTATTTTTGTTACAGCAGCAGTGTGTTTAGGCAATAACATATTTAAAAGGTGGAATAAATTATAATCATTATAAAAATAAAAACAATTAACAGCAAATGTAAAGATATTTACTGTAGACATATATCAAAAAAATATATATATTCTGATACATTAAACTGTTCCATAATAGACCAAAAAACTGCAGCAACAGAAGTATAGACTTATACTACGGTAGCAGAAACACATAGGCATAGTATATAAATTACAGATGTGCAAGGTAGCTGTTGTTCAAATTGTTCATGGTTATAGAGAGGGAGAACATATAACTATGGAGCAGCGAGTTCTCTGCCAGCTAGGAGGTGTATTTATTCTGACAACAGAGGACTTTGGCCCCAGTCTTCCTGCCCTCCCTACACACTGCGGCCCCTCCGTCCCCGTCACTAGGTCCCCTCCTCCCGGTGTGACCTACCTGCTGCTCCGCTTCTCGACCTCGCTTCATCTCTGGGGTTCCTCCTTCACTGCGGACCACCTTAGACTTTCGCTTCTTCAGGGCGTCCGACGACATGACTGACTGGTTAAAGAGGGGAAAACATATAGACGAAAAACAATATAATAGAGATAAACCAAAATGACTTAAATTGGTTATAGTAAGCGCCAACTATACTTCTCTATTAGCAACCTAGCAAATGTTAGCATGTTAGCTCAGTGGTTCTTACTAGCTTATTTGCTAACAACCGCTAGTTTGTTGGCTCATAAAGGCATGTTGCCAGTAACGGATTAAGAAAAGTGAATAAAGTGCTAGTTTGACGGGATATTTATCAATAGGAACATACCTCCAAGGTGCAAAAAAACCTCTGATATCCTTAAATCGTGCGAAAATTGGCATGTGACGTTACAGGATACTTTGTTTAGCCGCTAAGCAAATAACTGAAGATTGACGGAAGCCCTGACGTGCCAAAAACACAATCCGGATATCGACCGGAACACTGCCCCCTAGAGAAAGAACCTAGTATTGTGAGTAATTCGGTAAACTGCACTAGGCCTCTCATTCATATCTCTATTGTTTGATCCCAAGTTAGGAAAAGGACAAAATGGTGAAAATAATAAGCTACAGTAAAAGTAGCAATATCATAGTCCTTGTACATACATTTCAATCGTTTTTTGTACATATCGTTTTACATTTAAAGAGACAACTACATAAACCCGTATTTTCTCACTTACCAAGTTCACTTTAGTTGGAAATACACAATATAAAGATTTACCTGAGCTTTTAATGAAAACCCTTCTGAAAAACGACTTATTTCATATACATACATACATACAGTGTATGTATTATAATGCATACTTTGTTTCAAGATAGTTACACACCGAATACATTGAAAAGTTATTTATTCACAGTACTGGTGACACTATAAAAATGTACAAAACACATTTGACAATGATCAGCATACTGAAGTTATCTAGAATGCAAAAGTTTCTATTTATTTATTCTCTTTCACAATAAGCAGCACAAGGAATCTGTCAGTTGTCCCTCACTTGGCCATATCGATCAGACTCTGCAAAGACGTGGGGACCCAAGTTTTCTCTCCTTGCACAAACACAACCCCTCTGTCGATGTAGATGACAATACGCCCAAAGGTGTACAGCTGTTTGCCCTCGTGCCGTTTAGCCACTAAGGGCATAAAGACAATGTTGTTCTCCTCTGCCTTTGCCTGGATAAGATCTTTGAAGTTAGTTGGCACACCCGAGCTGATTCCTCTGTGAGCCACACTCTCTGCATCTCTACGCTCCTGCATCGCTTCGTACTGGAAGTCTTTTCGCCTCTCCGTCTGTGTGAGGTATGCAATGTTCTCTCTTGCACCAGGTTGCATGTATCCACCTGTGGATAAGAGAATCATGAGTTAAGTCTTATTTTTTGTTGAAACGGAGAGAAAAAGAGATGAATTGTCATATATCTTATACAAGGATGGTGTTCTATAGTTTCCATGTTTATTTTCTGAGACGCTGCCATACGAACCCATGCCTGAAGACACTGCGCGGTTCATGATGTCCAAAGCTTCGTTGAATTTGTCTTTAATGAGGGGCTGTGTTAACAAGGCGTCACTAAACATGGTTTTCCAACCCAGGTACCATTTAGTGATTTCCTCGTAGTTAGGACTGTTGCTCAACCATGAGCACAAGACCTAAAAACAACAAAGCCCACACAGACATAACAAAGTCAACAAAAACATTTAATCAGTCAAATTAAGTATACACAATAACCCATTGCAGTTAAGTGCATTCCCATAGTTTCTGATATGTGCTCGTATCTTTACTGACCTGCAACCACTTTGTGAAGAAGTTTTTGTCCAGCAGCGACACCAGGCTGGAGGGGGACAACATGCCCTCCCAGTCCATCACCCAGTGAAATGGCTCCATCTGCTGCTGGTGAGGGTTGATAACCAGCTCCTCCAGACACAGAGCTAAGGAGGAACATCACATCAAAATAAGAAACCAGGGAGGGACAGGGAAGGATAATAATGTAGGGATATTCTTCCCCTGCTTTGGAATAGTTAAAAAGGTGTCACTTATAAAGACATACCTAGTTTAGGGATGATATTTTTCACCATGAAGGCCTCCCATGCACCTGGAGTAAAAACATCTTTCCAAGGCTGCAGGATGAGGCGGGCTGAAGTGTCGCTGGGATGCCATCGCTGCAAGGCATTGGATAGTTTGCTCCTGATTGGTGGGTAAAGAGGCTCTAGACGTGCTTGTAGAAGAGGCAGCCAAGGATGGATCCAGGAGTGGATGGGCACTGTGTCAGTTAAAGGGTTCCAGGTATCCACCTATCAAACAAGACACAGAAATTATATTTTAGAAATTTACTCGTAATTATCCACAAGTGAATTATGTTTCTGTACATCAAAGTAAGAGTGTCTTAAAGAGGTGTATCTTGCCTCTCGCTGTAGCCGGGGGAGGATCAGCTGCTCCATCAGGTGATCTAGGATCCACAGAGGGAGTATAGGAGCCCACAACTCCACGCAGTCCACCATTGGCCCCACGTTACGAGGCTGCCAGGCCGTCACACAGGGCCGCATCACTGAGATCCACACCTCCCACAACAGTCTGGACCAACAAACACAGGACACACATGTTGTTTAAAACAGGCTGTAATACCTAGCCAGTATACCTAATTAACATAAATATGTGAGCAAAGCTTTTATATGATTTTGTTTAAAGTGACCTGTGGTAAGGGTCCATGTTTGAATCTGGGGCACTACTGTGGAAGTCTCTAGATTCAAGGATTGCTCTCCACTGACCGATGTCTTCCAGACAATAGGAGCTGTCCTGAAATGTGAAGAATTCAGTTTGAGAAGTGGTAGCATCATTATTAACTCATTATTAACAATAAACGTTGTAGTTGCATCAGAAAAGATAGTTGCAAGAACCTACCTTCAAAGGGTCCCAGGACCGAAGTTTGTCCTTGAGTAATGGCTGTACAACCGCTACAGCCAGGTCGGCCAATCCCATTGTCTTGTATTCTTCATAATAGTCTTTTTGTAAAGTATCAAAGATCCGGGCACACTCCTGAAGGAAGAGAAGGCAAAACAGTTACATATATAAACTGCAGCTGACACATTAATAAAAATCAGCCCCTGCTTAAAATCAATTCCCATTAGAATATTTTAGAAATCTGATGTTTAATCTCCCTAATCAAAACACTTCAATGGCTTTTGCCCTTTTTAAACTGGTATTGCCTTTTCCCTGGATGTATATTTATTTCTTGTTGTTTTGTTTTTGTTTTCTTTGTTTATGTAATTTACTAAATGAGAATCGCCCCTCAAGACCTTTCGAGTATAAAACAATGAATCAATCAATGGTTAAGCATGTGATAACAGAGCAATGACTACAACACGGAAACAGTCTGATTACAGTAGGTGTGGTCTTTTTGTGTTCACTGTATACATTACTGCAGAAAACATATTTGTACCTGCAGGCTGGGTCCCTCCTCCCCAGGTGCCATCTCTCCAGAAGGAAAACGCCCCACCAATTCCAGAACGGCCTCTATTCTCTGGATGGAATCTTGTTCTGCCTCCAGTCTGCTCTGCAGTGCCCGTGACTCATGGCTCAGAGACACAACTACATCTTTTTCATGCTGCAGACGTCTGGCAGACTACAGGAGGGGGAAAATACGATGGTAAATATGTCAGCATGTGGTATAAGAAGTAGCAGAGTGGTACATAGAAAGTAATGATACTTTTGGTTCCCTCTTACCTGCAATATGTCTTGTTCTGTGAGGTCTATCAGAAGCTGCAGGTTATGTTCAAGTTCAGGGAGAGCAAAGCCAGATCCCTTCTGATCCTGAGTGGAGAGGCTTGGTGGACCTTCATCTGGAACACTGTGCTTGTTGGTCATCTGACTGTAACTATAATATACCTTTTGTTCTCTTCCAGTCATATCTATGACCTAGAAATGGGAACAGATATGGGGTAAATGAGATTCAGAGATAAAATGGCAGCCTATATCCACAATATAATGTCATCCAAATGGGATTGTACCAGTATAAAAGTAGAATTGACTTAAGTTCCAGATTGTTATTACAGCATTGCAGCCTAATTCAATAATGATTTAATATAATTCCTGTGAGAAGACGCAAGTGTAATTGCCAGTCTTTTCAAACGTACCTTGACCTGTGCCAGCTCCCCAGCGGATACGGCTGTAGTGCGTCCTGCCAGCTTGCCTTTCGATTTTAGCTCGTCCACAGTCCTGTAGGAGTACTTTGGTTTCTTTTTTCCTACAGAGCCTGCCGGATCCTTACGCCACTGGCCAAGCTCCTTCTGAAACTCCTACACAGACGTTTAAAATAACATTAAAAATCGATATTGAATGATACTCCTATATAATCTCATAGTTATTATGTTATTCTAACTACCTTTTCCTCCTCTTCCTCTGAGTCAACGGTAGGAAAGTCCTGAAGACTCTGCTTGGTTCGTTCATTGCCATAGGCACCCACTGCTCCCTTTCCTTTACGAAGTTTTGCCTCAATTGGGTTTATGATACCTGTAGAAATAAAAGGGTGTCAGGTTATATCAACTCTACTCTGTTGCTCCTACAAAGCACACAATATTACCAAATATCTAAATAACAAAGCATACTCAGGGCTACCCACCTTGAGCATTCTTGCCCAGTCCTTTGCCTGGTTGGTATCCCATTTTCTGCAGAAGTTTCTGTCCAATTCCCCTCGTATGCTTCTCCCAGGTACCAAGGCCTTTCCCAGACTGAATGCCACCTGCAAACCGCTGGGGCTGGTTCCCCCGGAAAGTACCCTAGCAAAAAAGAAAAAAAAAGAAATCCTTCTTCACAAAACACTGTAGCAGAAAACACTTCAATGGGCATGAACAAACGCGCAACAAAAATCTACCATTTGGAGTTTTTTGGGTGCAGTGCTGCGAGCGGGGGGTGGCGGTGCTGAAGGACCTTCATCTTCTGAGTCATCAGAGCCTCCTTCTGCTTTTTGCTGTTTCTCCTCTGCTGCAGACTTACGCAGTCCAGCACTCACAAAGTTTACTGGAGCAGTGTAGTCTTTGGAGCTGGACAAAAAACACAAACAATTGATACATTTTGTTAACATTTGTTGAAAAGTCACTAAGCACTAGTTGGTGTTTATGTGTAGTATTTATGTTGGGCCGACTACAATGGGGTCTTGTTTTGAAGTTTATTCCCTTTTGTATAGTGTTTCCTTCCTGTTAGATTTTCAATTGTTAGGAGTAGAAGAACAAAGAGAAAGCAATGCCTTACTTCTTGCCACCAAAGCTAGGCCTCTCATCCTCATCTGAGTCTCTGTCAGCCCAGATCCCGTAGGTGGCCTGATCCTTGGTCGGCCTATGTTTGTGACGCGCTGGGTTAAACTCGTTGGCGAGGTCCCAATCTGTCACCTCAAAGCTCTCCACCTCCACACCGTCCTCCTCCTCCTCCCGCCTCCCATATAGATGGGACATAGACATCTTTGCATGGCACAAAAAATAAAGGATGAAGATTGTTTAAGTGGTGTAACACTTGTAGTAATAAGGCGCACAATCTCTATCTGCTGATGAAAGCCAAAAGGTGGTTGAAAGCTTGTATTATGAAGTAACAATCGATAAAAATAAAATAAAATAAACTTTTCATATAGCAGTTTATTTTACAAGAGAAGCAGCCCAACACCAAAAAATACCAATAAAAATATATATTATATTTTGAGAATTAGTAAATAAATAAAAATGACATCAATATTTTGCCAAGTAAAGCTATGAGAGTTAGGATCAATTTAAATTGTTTGTATTGGAAGATCACTAAAAAGAGCATTTTTAACATGTTTACACGATACGAAAACATTAAAATTAGACTCTGAATCTAGTAAAATGTCCAGGAATGTAACTTATTTTCAAGAAAATTAGAATTCTTCCTGCAGGTTTAGACTATTTTGAATGCTTTATAGCTGTGATCATGTGGTTATGCAGTGAGGTTAATAACAATTAAGGTGTATTTGTACTTTAATAGTTAGCAAATTATGCAACTCTATTGCTGTTTTGTAAACACAACTAAATTAGATTTGATACATACAACGTGAAGAAAGCTAATATTTACTAGCAACAGCTAGCGTTAGCTTATGATAACTGCTCGCTTTGCCCAGAAACTTGCGTAATGGCACATGTAAAACAAATTACAGTTATCTATAACTCACCTGAAACGTTAGTTATCCTTCTTTCTGGAAATAAGTAACAGATGAATTCATCCGCGGCAGTTATAAAAAAGTAATGCAGCCAAAACCAGGCAGCAACTCGTTCTACAAACGAAAACACTAGTACTTCCGGTTGTCACCGTAGCTGCCGGTGTTACACCGAACTTTGTACCCATAAATTGTCTATCGCTAACTTATATCATTATTATAATATAAAGCGTATTACCGTTTCTTTTAATATATGTAACCTACACGTCTATAGTTCGTTTATTGACCAAGTAATTTTACAAACACGATTTACTATTTGACATGACATCGGAAGAGAAAAATGATTGTGTTGCACTCAAAATAATCCGTATGGCTTTAGACTCGCCAGCCCATGGAAGCAATCACATAAGAACTTTGTTAATGAAAAATATATTGTAAATAAATGTGTATACGTTTTTACATGGGTCACCGGTGAATTAAAACAGATGTCGGACACCGGGGAGCAGTGGCAAGTTGCCCGGCGACGAAAAGGTGCAGCGCGGAAATCAAAACCACTTCAGGTGTCCTCAAACTCAAGATGCTGCCAGGAGCCACTGGACATCGGGAAAACTGTAACAAGAATCAGAGACACCGTGTAAGAAGTCCAGTTAAGCAGAAACTATAAGGATATCATTAATTGTTCATGTTGTAACCAGTTAACATTGCTAATCCCCTCCTTCTGCAGGTCTGAGCTAAGATGCGAGGAGTTTTGGCCTCAGTGGAAACGTGAGTAGGCTACTCTGAAGTGGTGTCAGTATCACCAAATATATTAGTTTGACTATGGAGTCATTTATCATGCAGCTCAGTGACCCTTTTGGGGACTCTTGTCTTCAGAGCAGCTTCTGGTGGCACTAGGATCAGTCGAGCTCTCAAAACCTCAAGAGGACAGGGACCCTGAAGGCCCCACAGAAGATGGCCAGCTGTTTCAACATCTGGACTGTGTGTGTTATGGCCTTGGCTCCTTTTCCTCGTGTGTCTCAGCTCGCTTCCAGCTCGCCATGTTGCTGCTGCTACTGGACGCAGGACAGGTTAGAGGATGTGTTTATCTAATGAGATAACTAACAGTCTTCATGAAACCCTGTTCATTGAGTTCTGTGTCTGACTTCACCTTTTGTTTTAGATTCCTCTGAAGGACTGCTTTATTTATGACCCCGCCTTCTCATCTGGAGAGAGGGATGTGTTAATGCAGCTGGGTTTGACTGTACTCACAGAAAATGAGGTCAGTTGTTCTTTTTTACCTGTTATACATCTACAAAAACTGCAAGTTCCCTGCACATACAATCGATCAAATACAATTATAATTAATCTGCCAGTGTTGTTGAAGATGTTGAAACTCTAACAATACGATGAACGTCTCCCTATATTTTGCAGGAAGGAAAGCGTCTGGCGACTAAGCCCACACTCTTTTACCTAATGCATTGTGGGAAAGCTCTGTACAACAACCTTCTGTGGAAGAATTGGAGTACTCAATGTCTTCCTCGGATGATAATAATTGGAAACAGCTTCAATGGCATTTTGGACAGGTTAGTACAAGTCATAAATGAGGGAGATGATGTTAAAGAAATGGCAGCTGAGGTGAGGTTACATTTCCTGTCTGTCATCCCAACAGAACAATCGAGAGAGAATTCAAGCGGGACTACATCTACATTACTCAGGCTGTGTCTGTGTGTGAGGACAGACTGCTGCCTTGTCCATCCCGTCTGATTGACGTCTTCAGTGACACTGCAGTCATCACCTTTCCAACCAGCAGCCTTAACCGTCTCCCACAATCCACCTGGGCAGAGCCGCCTGAGCCACAGTACCATCACTGTCCTGATTTAGAGATAATTCAGAGGGAAACACATGTGGGAGAAAGGGGAGGAACCATAAACTGACTTTATATTGTTGCCATTTTTTTTTTTTAAACAAGAGAGCCCTACCTCTAATTGGAGACTCTTTCAATAAAATCATAGTTTGCCTCAAGGTGTTGTTTCTTTTGTAAAATATTGGATAAATGCAATCTGAATTTTCTCAACACACTACGGTTTTTGCACATGTATGGCGTTCCATTCGTTTCTGAGCACACCCAGCCACACCTGTTCAGGGTTAAGCTGGGTGTGGCTCCCACTGGTTCAGCAGGTGGGACATCACTGGATATCCAACACCGTGTAGACTTAACTTTCCAGAGCATTACTCTGCAGCAGGCTACAGTTTATATCTTTATCAAGGGTGTTGCTGCCAACGTTTTTACAATGATCAAAATCACTTGTCATTGTTGTCATCAATGGGAAAATGTTAAGGTTCTTTTTCACACATAGGCCAATTTATTTACGCTAATTATATGTTTGCATAGTTGTACTTTGATGTGCATTTTCAGATATATTTTAATGTTTGTAAAGGGCTTTCAAAAATATCTACTCTGGCACACACTGCAGTAACTCTAAGGAGCCCCTAGGGGTCATAAACCCCATTTTGGAGTCCCATGCTTTCAGGTATGTTTTGTAATGTGATTGTTTGTAATGTATACAACATTTCTTGTAAATGGCAAAAAACACATCCGGTCTACACCCAGGTATTTAAAAAAACAACAACAACATCATAATCAGAGTAACCAGTAAAAAGTTTATTGTTGAAAAAGAATAACACTCAACAGTACAGCCCTCTCCCAGAATCAGGAAAAAACACCTTCAGCAAAAAGTAATATTCATCATCTCATTCTGTTGCCTGCTTTAGTTTATCGGATCATAATACATCTAGGATCCTGGGAGAGTGTCATCTTACAGCAGTGACTAAGAACAACTTGACTACAACACTGTGTTCCTGTTTGACATGTTTTCACCCTTCAGCTTCTCCGTTAGCAGTGACACTGCCTGCTGTTCCATTGACTGCTGTGTCTGCTGCTCCATTGGCTTTGGAAACAACATCTGCCCAGGTTCCATTGCTCTTATGGACTGAGTGCTTTACAGTGATGTCACAGGCTCCATTGATCTCACCATTAACCCCATTTGACTCTGATTTAATCTCATCAGCTGTTGCATTAGATTTTACCTCCCCATTGACTATGTTGCCGTTTACTTCATTTGGGGCACTGGACTCAGTTTCCTGTCCTGCATCACTGACCTCTGACCCCCCATTCACAATATTGACCTCAGCATCTGAAGCTCTGTCACTCTCTCCTCCCTCTACATCTGCTTTCTCCCCTTGCTGGCTCTCTACAGCGGGCTCCACTACATGACCATTAGTCATGGCAGCACTTTTCTCTGAGCTCTCTTCCTCTGGCTGCTCCTGTTGGCTGTCGCTGGCATTCTCCACCGCTGGGCTTCCTCCATCCTCAGCTTCCTTCCCGCTTCCTGTGTTTGGATCTGAGCTTTTCTCTTCTCCGTTCGCAATCAGGGTGACGACCCCGTTGGTTACAATGAATCCAAGTTCCTTTGCCACTGCTGCCTTTAGTTCTTTGTGTTTCTTCCAATACTCCTGGAGCCCATCCCTGTGAGAGCACAAATTAATGTGGCTTCCAAAACATTTAAACACTTTTTCTTACATTTCTGTAATAGCAATACAGCTATGCAGAAAAAGCATCTTTGAAAAAGTGAATGCATGACTTAGTGTTTGAAAGTTATAAAGTGTAATCACTATTATTAAAATAGTGATTCAACTTTTTTTGATTTGTGGAATTGCAACAAAAGTCCAGGAGAACAAAAAAAGAGTATTAAAAATACTTCATAAATCTTGGGGGAAATGATACAGTCACATCACAGATGTAGCAATATGTGTGCATTTGTTGGAGTATAAGTAAGAAAGATATGCCAAAATAGGTCTGAGACAGTATCACCATTACTTACTTCAGTATAGATAGTACACACATTTGCAATAAGAACATATCTTGTTCATAATTCTTCAAATAAATTAATTTAAGGGATTTTGGGGTAATTTCTTACAATGATACAAAAATCACTATCGATCAACAACCAATTGATGCCAGAATTGTGGGTCAAGAGTGTGGGTCACATTGCTTCAACAAGTTTAAGCATATCATATACATCACAATGAATATTTACCTGTGTGTGATGCTCCTGATCCCTGTCACCAGAACCATTTGCTCCAGCACAGTGTCAGATTTGGAGGATAGATACTGAGGACCGAGAGGACAGGGAGATAAATAAACAAACTTCCCTTTAACTTTGTAATATTCAAACATGTCAATGCTTTCAGAGACAGACTGAGCTCCTGGGCTTACCTCCACCGCCTGCTCCGTGCAGTCGGCTCCTGCCTGCCGGAGGGAGCGCTCCACCTTCACTGCTTGCTTGGTTATTGTGCACAGAAGCTCTTTGCTGATGCGTGTCTGAGCGTGATCCTCTCCAAACTGAGAAAAGACATATATCATAAGATTACTCTAATGCGCAAACAACACAGAGGTTTGTATGATTCAAGAGGATACCCATAAAAACTATTCCCTGAAAAACAGGAACACATTTTTCACACCTTTAGCAGTAGAACCATGACAATAACAGATTTGTTTAAACAAGTATTTTGTGTGCGTCATTTGTGTTGTATTGTTTGTCTGTGTTAGTTGGAGAATTTGTTTGGGAGGATTTCTTTCCTTTACCACAACATTATTTTTCATATCATTTCAATAGATGTACTCACTATGGAGGTGAAAGCAGCGAGGGCCTCTTTCTCATGGGTCATGGCACTCCTGTAGTCACCCTTGCTACACATCCAGTGGGCCACCAGGTGCTCGCTGTACAGACACGAAAAACACGTCAAGGAATTGTGTGATGTTAGAAAACGGGACAAAGTAGCTCAACTTTATTACTTTTATTGCAAAGTATGAATGCAAGCTTACCTGAGAGCAGTGTGCAGATGTGAGGAGCCGAAGAAGGAGGTGTTGAGTCTCAGAGCGTTCTTTAAGAACTGACCTCTCTGATCCGCAGTCAGAACCAACCCAAGACAGCTCTGCAAGAAAACAATGAGGATTGTCATTGTCAAAAATGATATTGTTAAAATCGTTTTTTGTGCGCTATAGGTGTTGTAACTTACATCCACTGTTGCGATGTAGGGATGGTCCTCTCCGTGGACCGTTAGCATAAGCAGACGAGCTCTGAGGAGACACTTCTGGGCTAGGGCTGTTTCCCCTCCAGCAAACACATACACCGCCAAGAGGGCCTGCATAGAACAAATGAGAATAATCGCACTCTAAACACATTTAAAGTGCATTAAAAGTCTCTAGAGATATACAGTTCATATCTATCTCAGAGTGACCAGGGGTTTGTAGCAGCAAGAACAATATGTAGGTATACTCACGTATTGCTGGATAGTGTTTGGATGGTCGAAGCCAAGCACTCTCTCACTGATGACCACTGCCTTCAGCTGGACACTGCGAGCCTTTAGAACAAAGAAAGCCACGGTGATGACAATAATTAATGGCCAGCTTAATGTATAAACAATCATTTCAATAAGTGAAATTCGTTTTTTCACGACATTTTTACATTTTCCATAGTGTCATGGTACACTCTTTCACTTTGTAAAATCTTCTGAAGTAATTTTAACTATACTGTCAGATATATGTTGTAGAGTAACAAGTACAATATTTCTGTCTCAAATGTTTGTAAAATGTGTTCATTTCAAAGCAAGTCAATAGCTTGTCTAATGTAGCAGCTAATATTTAGCACAGTTAGCCTACCTCAGCTGCTTTGCCCTGCATAAACGCCACCTTGGCCAACAGGGTGTGGCAGAAACAGGACTCTGGGTTCAGGTCATCACACACTCTACCAAACAAGTAGGTGGCTTCTTTGAGCTTTTCATGGGCCTGATCCAGCAGACCTGCAGTTGAGAAACATACCGTTGTGAATTTACATTTCATTTTCATTTTGTTCAAAAGGCCCATGTAGCACAAGGATTACAGATACAAGAATCTGGAGCTTAAGGACTCGTCTTGATTGACCTACCCTTCTTAATGAAGCTCTCTGCAGCACGGTGTGCTTTTGAAGCATCCACAGTTGGCATTTCATTGTGCTTGACAACGGGGAAGATGTTGAGGACGTCGTCTGGACCAATGGGAGCTTTATTTTGGTTGTCGAGGATGTAGTCTCTCAGTCTCAACTAGTGTAGACAGAGAAATAAGAAACATACTTTCTTACTTACTTTCTTTTCAATTTTTTATCTGCTATTTTCAATTTTGAGTCAATGTTTATAAAAGCCTCACTCTATCTGTTTGCTCTTACCTGTACTCCAGTCTTTATACAGAACTCTCTGAGCAAAGAGAGCTTCTGAAGACCGTAGTGCTCCACCAGGTGGTTTGGACCAGAGCTGTCACAGAGAAAAAGGACATGTGTTTCTTAAATTGTAAAGCAAGAAAAGTCATAAGCATTGACGAAGAATAAGCCACTAGCCTGTACACCAATTCATCCTATACACAGCAAAACATTTTAGAACACAGTATCCATCCTCTTCTAAACAAGTAGGAAGGAACTCACTTGTATTTTAATATTAATTTGAAGTAAACGGACTCTTTTTTTATTCTGTCTCAGTCTCACTGTTATCAAATATGTATAAATATGACTATTTCTGGTCCTATTATGTATTGTTTTTGCTATTGACTTTGTGGGGTCCTCACGTCTTGAGCACTAGATCAAAATCTCAAACTTGTTCTAAAATGGACTCTGAGCCTTTGTGTAACAACCAAACAAACATGAGGGGAGAACAAACAAAGACTGTTTGCTCACCCAAGGCTGTCAGAGATGTTGTATGTCTCAGCAGCCTCCTGGCAGAGCAGGGTCCACAGCTCTGCCCCAGTGAGCGTGCTCCAGGGTGAGCTCTCAGCGGCCCCCGCCCCGGGCCCTCTGCCGCGCCGCCTAGACTTCTTCTTGGTCTCCTCCCCCACAGGACTAGGTGTGAAGTGGGGAACCAATAGGCAGCACAGGAAGTGACTGACAGCTGCAGAGAGGCTAGGCACGTCCACACCCTGCAAAGACATAACCGGAGGCTGCAGTTCATTTTT